ATATATATATATAGTGATGTTTCATTTTAATCACGGAAAAATGTGGAAAAAGTAACCCCAAATCTACATTTTTCTATTATTAAAATAAAACTCCACTAATGCATACATACATACGTGTGTGTGTGTGTGTGTAGTGATGTTTCATTTTAATCATGGAAAAATGTAGATTTGGGGTTACTTTTTAACTGAAAATTGGGGGTTTTTTTTAAATCAGAGAAAACCAGGATCCCTGGTCATCTGCCACCACTGAGAACAGTCTAGCTTCATCCTCTTTGGAACCAAGGGCTGCTATCAAATCCCCTCTCAGTCTTCTCTTCTGCAGACTAAATAAGCACAGTTCCCTCAGTCTCTCTTCATATATGCTCCAGCCCCCAAACCATTTTTGTTATCCTCCACTGGACTCTCTCCAATTCATCCAAATCCTTTCTGTAGTGGGAGACCCAAAACTGAACACAGTACTTCAGGTGTGGCTTCACCAGTGCTGAATAGAGGGAAGGAATCACTTCCCTTGACCTGCTGGCAACACACTACCAATGCAGCCCAGTATGCCATTAGCCTTCTTTGCAACAAGGGATCACTGTTGGCTTATAGTCAGTTTATTGTCCACTGTAACCCCCAAGTTCTTTTCTGCAGAGCTGCTGCCCAGCCAGTCAGCCCCCAGCCTGTACTGGTGCATGGGATTGTTCCAAACTAAGTGCAGGACTTTGGACTTGCCCGTGTTGAACCTCATGAGACATCTAGCCCTAGACTTCAGGAGGGTGGACTTCAATGAGCTAAAGAGAATATTTGGGGAGGCACTGAGGTCCCGGGGGGGGAGGGGAGTCAGGTGTTCAAGAAGAGTGGTCATTCTTTAAGGAGACAATCCTCCAAGCCCAAAGGGAGGTAATCCCAACACGCATCAAAGGGGGCAGGAGGGCACACAAGCCTCCATGGCTCACCAAAAGCATCCAGGAATGTCTCCTAGCTAAAAGGGAGGTGTACACCCAATGAAAGGGAGGGGCCATCACCAGGGAGGACTATACTGTGGTTGCTCGGGGCTGCAGGGGTGCGGTCAGGAAGGCCAAGGCAGAGATGAAACTGGGACTAGCTACCCAGATCAGGGACCACAAGAAGTCCTTTTTTAAATACATAAGGGGCAAAAAGAAGGTACCAGCTAACGTGGGGCTCCTGCAAGACACGCTAGGAAATCTGGTCCTCACACCAGATGACAAAGCTAACCTATTTAACAATTTCTTTGCCTCCATTTTCCTGATCAGGGACCGGATCATCTCCCCCACCGGGACCCCCTCAGTCCCCAAGGGAGGCGCACCCAGGCCAAGGTCAGTGAGGATCTAGTCAGGGAAATTCTGGAGGGGCTGGACGTATTTAAATCAGCTCGTCCTGATGATGTCCACCCCAGAGTACTGAGGGAATTAGCTGAGGTCATTACAGGACCCCTGGCACGGCTTCACGAGCACTCGTGGTGCTCTGGTGTGGTGCCAGAGGACTGGAAGAGGACCAACATGGTTCCCATTTTCAAAAAAGGGAGGAAGGAGGGCCCGGGAAACTATAGGCCAGTTAGTCTTACCTCAATCCTGGGTAAGCTTTTTGAGAGAATTATCATGGCGCATGTCCACAAGTGGCCAGAGGGGGTTGTTATGCTTAGGGGCAACCAACATGGGTTCATTAGAGGCAGGTTCTGTCAGACCAACCTAGTGGCCTTCTATGACCAGGTCACATAATCCTTAGATGCAGGGTTAGCAGTGGATATAGTCTTTTTGGACTTTAGGAAGGCCTTCGACACCATCTGTCACCCCATTTTCATTAAGAAATTGGGGGACTGTGGTGTCGACACCTACACAGTCAAATGGGTCACCAACTGGCTGGAGGGCCACACCCAGGTAGTGGTGGTGGATGGGTCATTTTTGACCTGGAGGGATGTGGGCAGTGGGGTTCCACAGAGCATGGTCCTCAGGCCCACACTGTTCAACATCTTCATCAGTGCCTTGGACGAGGGGGTAAAAAGCACCTTGTTCAAATTTGCTGATGACACTAAGATGTGGGGGGATGTGGGCA